GAAAAAAGAGAAGAAGATGACACTCTACTTCTAGCCTACAAGTACAATGAAAGAGGTGAAGATAGTACATGGTACTTGGACACCGGTGCGAGCAACCATATGTGTGGGAGACGAAACATGTTCATAGAGCTTGACGAATCAGTAAGCGGCAATATGTCTTTTGGAGATGAGCCCAAGATAGAGGTGAAGGGCAAAGGTAATATTCTCATCCGCAGAAAAATGGGAAGCATCAATTTATTTCTAATGTTTACTTTATGTTGAATATGAAGAGCAACATCTTGAGTTTAGGGCAACTCTTGGAGAAATGATATGATATTCACTTGAAAAAAAATACTCTTTTCTTAAAAGACAATATTGGTAACTTAATTGTTAAGGTGTCAATGTCTAAAAATAGAATGTTCTCACTCAACATTCAAAATGATTTTGCCAAATGTCTGAATATTTGCTATAAAGATGCTTCTTCGCTCTGACATCTTCGATTTGGGCATCTCAACTTTGGAGGACTCGAATTGCTTTCAAAGAAAGAGATGGTGAGAGGATTACCTTGCATCAATCAACCTAATCAATTATGTGAAGGATGTTTACTCGGAAAGCACTTCAGAAAAAGCTTTCCAATAGAGTCAAGTTCTAGAGCCCAAAAGCCTCTTGAGCTCATACATACAGATGTTTGCAGTCCAATAAAGAACAACTATTTTTTTCTCTTCATAGATGATTTTTCATGAAAAAATATGGGTGCATGATACACAAAAAATATATGCATTTTTAGATCTATATTTTATACCTATTTTTGATGATATTGCAATTTAATGGAATGTATTTTCATGTTTCCTTGTAGGCTGTTCATTTTTAGGGCTTAAAGCAAAAAGAAAGCAAAAAGGATGAAATTTGGAGTCAAAATGACATTTTTAAGAAAATGCTCAGCCTCGGCAGCGCCGACGGCGTATAACAAATTAATGCGGAGATTTTTTTACTCAGGGACGGAGATTTTTTTCCTCAGGGACGATGGCGCCAAAGGCGGTGCAGACCCTGTTTCTAGAAGGTTCAATGTTTTTGA